ATGAGTAAATGAAATTAAATAAATAATTCTTTTTAAAAAAGAATTATTTTTATTTGACTTTATTCATTTGTTTTATTTTAATTTAACCAGAGAGGGAGGGGGAGAGATAGAGAAAGTAAGAAAGGATGCCACCAAGTCCAAGATTCGAACTGTGGTCGGCCATGTGGGAGTCCAGTACTCTTAACCACCATGCCACCTGCTGGCTCCTAAATAATAATTCTTTAGGGACCAGCAGTTAGTGTAATGGCTATGTTGCTGAGCTCCCACGTAGTCAACCGCGGTGAGTCCTGGACCCGGTGGCGTAAACTCACACTGAGCACATGTGCGTGCATGCCCAAGATCCCGAGAGGAGAATGGAGAAGGGATTGGACTTGCTGGATCATATCGTAGTTCTATTTGAAGGTCTTTGAGGGATCTCCATGTTCTCCACAGTGGCTGGACCAATTTACAATCCCACCAACAACGTAGGAGAGTCCCCTTTCACCACATCCCTGCCAGCACTTGTCATTTTGTTTTGTTAATCTTCACCATTCTGACTGGGGTTAGCTAGTATCTCCTTGTACTTTTGATCTGCATCTCCCTTATGATGAGGGTGTTAGACATTTTTTCATGTGCTTTTTGGCTATTCATATGTCTTCTTTAGTTGTTTATTCAGCTCATTCTCCCATTTTTTAAATTGGATTAATCATTTTCTTCTGGGTAAGCTGCTTGAGTTCCCACTGTATTCTGGTTATCAGTCCCTTATCTGAGGCATAGTTAACAAAATTTTTCTCCCATTCTGAGGGTTATCAATTCACATTAATTACCTTATCCTTTACTGTGCAGAAGCTTCTTAATCTGATGTAATCTCATCTGTCTGTTTTGGGGATTACTGCCTGTGTTTTGAGGGTCTTGCTTAAGAAGTCTTTACATATTCCAGTGTCTCTCAGAGTTTCCCCAGTGTTTTTCACCAGTAGTTTTATAGTTTGAAATCTTAGATTTAGATCTTTGATCCACTTTGAGTTGATTTTTGTTAGTGGTGACAGATAAGAGTTCAGAGTCATCTTTCTGTAGGTGGATACCCATTTTCTCCAGCATCATTTGCTAAAGATGTTTTCCTTTTCCCACTGGACTGTCTGGTCCCCTTTGTCAAAGGTAGTTGGCTGTAAGCTTCTGGGGTTCCTGCTGTGTCACTGATCCTCACGTCTGCTTTTATACCACTACCATGCTTTTTTTTGGGAGAGGTTTTTGTTATAGGGCGCATGCACTTGCCAGAAAGAGAGAGAGAGCGAGAGCGAGTAATCACCCTCTGGGAGTATGGCCACACCGCAATCCTTTCTCCTCTCCATTCTCTTCTTGGGATCTTGGGCACGCATACACACTCATCTGGTGTGAGTTTAAGCCACTGGTTCTGGAACTCGAACTGTGTTCGACTACATAGGAGTCCAGCTACATAGCCATTACGCCATCTGCTGGTCCCAATACCATGCTGTTTTGATGATCACAGCTTTGTAGTAATATATTTTGGGGTCAGGAAGTGAGATGCCACCCACTCCACTCTTTTTTGCATAGGATTGCTTTGGCAATATGGAGATGGAGTCTTTTATGGTTCCTGATGAATTCTATGATTGCCTTTTCTAGATCTATGAAGAATGTATCTTGTAATTGTATAGGGATTGCATTCAATATATAGATTAATTTGGGTAGGATTGTCATTTTGATTATATTGATTCTCCCAGTCCAGGAACATGGGATGTCCTTTACTTCTTTGTGTCATTTTTAATTTCTTTTTAAAGATTTTCATAGTTTTCCTTATAGAGGTCTTTGACTTCCTTGGTTAGTTTTTTTTCTAAATATCTTAGACTTCTTGTGGCTATGGTAAATGGAATTGCATTCTTCAGTTCTGTCTCTGTCTGCTTGCTGTTTGTATGTAGAAATGCTATAGATTTTTGTAAGTTAATTTTCTACTGAGTCAATTTATTGTACGCATTTATTACTTCAAGAATTTTTTTGTGGATACTATTAGTTCTTCTATGTATACAATCATATCAGCAGCAAAAAGAGATCATTTGAGCTCTTCTTTCCCTTTTGGAATGCTTTTTATTTCTTTCTCTTGTCTGATCGCATTGGCTAAAACTTACAGTAGTATATTGAATAGGAGCAGAGAAAGTGGGCAGCCTTGTCTTGTACCGGTTTTTAGTGGAAAAGCTTTTAGCTTCTCCCCATTTAGTATAATATTAGCTGTAAGTATGTCATAAATGGCTAGGTATCTTACACTGTTTTTTTTTTTTTTTTTTAATAAGGTTTTTATTTTACTTTTTACTATTCTTTTTCTTTTAAAATAATTATTTACTTAAATTTTCATTTATTCATGAATTTATTTTAATTTGACCAGAGAGAGAGACAGACAGAATGAGAGAAAGTGAAAAACCCAGCCACCAGGTCTGGGACTTGACCTGTGGTCAGCCATATGGGAGTGTCCAGCACCTCAACCACCACGCCACCTGCTGGTCCCAGTATCTTACACTTTTTGTGTCTATTAAGACTTTCTGTGTCCTTCTGAGTCAATCTTGGGAGATTATATGTGTCTAGGAATTTGTCCATCTCATCCAAGTTTTCTTGTTTGTTGGCGTATAGCCACTCATTGTATCCTCTAATGATACTTTGAATTTTTATTATATCTGTTGTAATATTGCCTGTTTCATTGCAAATTTGATTTATCTGGCTCCTTTCTCTTTTCTTCTTAATTAGTGTAGCTAATGGTGTGTCAATCTTATGTATCTTTTCAAATAACCAGCTTTTGCCTTAATTTATTTTCTGTATAGTTTATTTTATATTTCATTTATTTCTGCTTGAATCTTTATTATTTCCTTCCTACTAGCATTTTTTTTTTTTATATATTTTTGTTGTCGTTTTTCAATTCCCTGAGGCCTGACTTAAGGCTGTCATTTTGCCACTTTTTTTTTTTTTGGAGAGTTTTTTGCTTTAGGGCACGTGCACTCACCAGACAAAGAGAAAGAGAGAAAGTGAGAAATCCCCCCCCAGGGGGAATGGCCACACCGCAATCCCTTCTCCTCTCTTCTCCTCTTGGGATCTTGGGCACGCACGCACACGTGCCCAGTGTGAGTTTAAGCCACCGGGTCCAGGACTTGAACCGTGGTTGACTACATGGGAGTCCAGCGACATAGCCATTATGCCAACTGCTGGTCCTGCCACCTTTTTTTTTTTTTTTTATGCCCACTAATTGCTGTGAACTTCCCTCTTATGACTGCTTTTGTGGTCTCCCATGGATTATGGAAAGTTGTATATCATCATTTATTTCCACGAATCTTTTGATCTCCTCCTTAATCTATTTGGTAGTCATGTAGTCATTCAGGAGTAGGTTATTTAGTTTACATATATTTGTGTTTTTCTAAGGTTTTTCCTGAAATTAATATCAAGTTTAATTCCATCATGGTCAGAAGATGCTGGATATAGTTTCTACGCCTTTGAGTCTATAGAGACTGGCTCTGTGCCCCATGGTAGTCTTTGAGAAGGTACCATATAGAGCTGAGAAAAATGTATATTTTGTGATTTTGGGTGGAAAGCTCTATAGATGTCTGTCAGGTCTTGTCTGATCTATGGTATCACTTAGGTCCTATATCTCTGCTTATTTTCTGTCTCGTTGACCTGTCTGAAGGAGATAGTGGGCGCTGAGATCTCCCTGTCACAGTGTTACGGTCTCTCCTTTCAGGTCTAGCTCCTTCCTTCATGGATCTGGGTGCCTCCCGGATTGGGTGCATTTATGAGCGTTAGATCTTCCTGGAGAATTAGCCCCTTTACACTATATAATGCCCTTCTTTGTCTCTTACGTTTTTTGCCTTAAAGTCTATTTTGTCTGAAATCAGTATAGCTACTCCCACTCTTTTCCGGTTTCCATTTGCATGGAATATCTTTTTCCAGCCCTTTACTTTTAGTCTACGTATGTCTTTATCCATGAGATGGGTTTCCTGTAGGCAGCAAATGAGGGTTTCTGATGGTTTTATCCATTCAGCCAGTCTGTGTCTCTATTGGAGAATTTAATTCATTAACATTAACGTTATTATCGAAATTTCCAGGCTTGTCCCTAACATTAAGTTGACCATATTCTCGATTGTTTTATTGTTCTCTTATTTCTGTCTTTAGTATTTTTGGTATAATACTCTTTTCAGGCTGGAGAGGCAGAGATGGAGGTGTCTGAAACTGAAACTGTTCTGTCCTTTGTGAGGACAGAAGGAAAGGAGAGACAATAAGAGAAAGGCAGAGGAGGAAGGAAAGCTGTTTTTTTTTTTTTTTTTTAAAGTTAGAGGGGCCTGCAGGGTGGTGGTTGGGTGTATGCTGGACCCCCACATGACCGACCGCAGTTCATGTCCTGGACCTGGCAGCTTGCTTTCTCGCTTTCCTTCTCTTTCTCTCTTGTGCTGTCCCTCTCTGGTCAAATTGAAATGAATGAATGAATGAATAAAATTAAATAAAATAATTCTTTTTTTTTTTTGGAGAGGTTTTATTGCTCTAGGGCACGTGCACTCACCAGACAGACAGAGAGAGACATAGAGACAGAAAGCGAGAAATCACCCCCCAGTGGGGGGATGGTCACGCCGCAATCCCTTCTCCTCCATTCTCCTCTCGGGATCTTGGGCATGCACGCACACGTGCCCGGCGTGAGTTTTAAGCCACCAGGTCCAGGATGCGAACTGCGGTCGACTACGTGGGAGTCCAGCGACATAGCCATTACGCTAACTGCTGGTTCCCAATAAAATAATTCTTTTTAAAAGTAGCTAGAAAAGATGATAGAAAATAACAGGATAGAGAGGGATTTTTGCCTACCTTACTAATGCCTATGGTCAGGAAGTGGGGGCCCCAGGCTGGGGTCTTCACAGCAGTGAAGGTGGACCCAGGGGAGGGCAGGAAACGTAGAGATGGAGAGACCTGAAAACTTGAGAGTCGTTATTTACCTCTGTGTGGGGCTGACCGGGGTAATCTTTGCCGTCTATATTTCTTTCTCTTTTTTTTTTCCTTTTTGGAGAGCTTTTTGCTATAAGGCGCGTGTGTTCGCCAGAAAGACAGAGACAGAGAACAGAGAGTGAGAAATCATCTCCCCCCCCCCCCCGCGGCCAGACAATCCCTTCTCCATTCTCCTCTTGAGATCTTGGGCACGCACGCACATGCACCCGGTGTGAGTTTAAACCACCGGGTCTGGGACTCGAACCGCAGTCGACTACATGGGAGTCCAGCGACATAGCCATTACACCAACTGCTGGTCCTTGCTGTCCATATTTCTAACAACGTTCTATTCACAGCTACTTACCTAATCTCTAAGAAGACTGGGCTTTCCTTACAACTCTCTGACCCCTCACCAGAATCACTGTAATACACCATTCATAGCAGCATAGGCTTCCCCACTGTTTATTGCAGAACCATCTGAGCCTCCACCCAGTGCCCTGTCTCGGGTATTGTATCACAGCAGCACAAGTGAATTGAGGTGGTCGCCTTCCGTGTTATGTTTCCAGCTGGTCTTCAGCCAGATTTGAGAAGAAAAGCGAGACCCAAGGAGATGGCCACAGGTTTCGGTTCCCCAGTATTAGAGCACAGTGAGAATGACACTGCTGGTTTGTAGGGTTACCCTTGGCAAGGGAGACAGAGGAACAGAGTTTCCACCGCCTCAACCCAGTGTTGGAGCGAACACGACGAGCGTCAGGGTGTCGTTTTGTATCCTGTAGTCATTTGTTGGTTTTTCCCTTGCAGAGCCGTGCCCCAAATGTGAGCACCCTCGTGCCTACTTCATGCAGCTTCAGACCCGCTCTGCGGATGAGCCGATGACCACCTTCTACAAGTGCTGCAGCCCTCAGTGTGGACACCGCTGGAGGGACTAGGCCAGGCTGGAGCACCCTGCTGGGGTGTGGGAGTGTTTTTAGGGTATTTGCTGGTATAGGGGAAAGGAACCCTTTTGGCGTAGAAGGCCAGTGTGTCAGTCTAATCCTCTCTCTCTCTTTCTCTGGTGAGAGCACATGCCCTGTAGAAAATAATAATGGTGGGGTCCAGCAGGTGGTGTGGCAGTTAAGGGTGCTGGACTCTCACATGGCTGACTGCAGTTCAAGTCCCAGACCTGGTAGCTTGCTTTCTCTCTTTCTCACTCTGTCCTTCTCTGGTCAAATGAAAACAAATAAATAAATAAATAAAGTTAAATAAAAAATAATTCTTTAAAAAATAAAAAAATAATGGTGATAAATAAAGTAATTCTTAAAAAAAATAAATGTAGTCATCTGCCAGTCACAGTCAGTCACGTTGTTAATGTCCAAGCCCTGCAGGAAGGAGGCTCGCACCCTCCTGTGTAAGGGCCCGCTGGTCCACCCTTTACCCTTCCTGGACAACCGATGGCCGTCTACCTGCAGCCAGCTCTTTGTTTGCTTATTTTTGCTAAGATTCTTGCCATAGGGTGCTTGTGCTTGTCGGAGAGAGACAGAGAGACGGCAAGAGGGAAAGTGAGGAATCACCTCCGGGGAGAACTGCTGCACCTCAGTCCCCTCTCTACGCTTCCTGGCACCCTGGGCACGCACGCACACGCAACCAGTGTGAGTTCTAAGCCGTCAGGTCCGGGAGTTGAACCGCGGTCGGCCATGTGGGGTCTAGCACTTCAGACACTGTGTTACCAGCTGGCCCCCGCCCCCAGCCAACTCTCGAATATCCTAAGTGTTTATTGTGAGTGCATTTAAAGTTATTCTGAATATTTAATTAAAATGGAAAGTCTAATACTGCCTTCTCAGTGTTTCTTTTTTCTTTTTTTTTTTAAGAGTTTTCTTGCTACTTGGCATGTGTGCTTGGTAGAGAGACAGAGAGAGGGAGACAGAAAATGAGAAATCACTCCCCAGAGGGGATGGCCATGCTGCAATCCATTCTCCATTCTCCTCTCGGGATTTTGGACACTCATGCACACACACCCACCCAGTATGAGTTTCAAGCTGCTAGGTCTGGGACTCGAACCGTGGTCAGCCATGTGGGAGTCCAGTAATGTAACCATTGCACCATCTGCTGGTCCTCTCAGTGTTTTTAAAATAATTATTTAATTTAAAATTTTCAATGAATTTTTTTCAAGTCATTAATTAATTAATTCATTTACTGTTTAATTTGACCAGAGAGAGAAAGAGAGGGAAAGTGAGAAGTCAAACTGCCAGGTCTGAGACTTAAACCACAGTTGGCCATGTGGGAGTTCAGTGCCTTAGCCATCATGCCACCTACTGTCCTCTCAAATAATTATTTAATTTTACTTATTATTTTTTCAAACTTGCTATAGGACACATGCACTCACCAGAGAGAGACACAGAGAAAGAGAAAGTAAGAAAGCAAGCTGTCAGTTCCAGGTCTTGAACTGTGGTTGGCCATGTGGGAGTCCTGCACCTTAATCACCACGCCACCTGCTGGCCCCTGCCTTCTAGTGTTTAAATGCCTGGAGAAATAGATAGCAGGACCCAAATTACAGTGACCCACAAACTGACTACTAAAATATAAATAGGTCCAAGAAGTGTTAACAACCTGCCTGCAAGCTTTTTAAAAAAGAATTATTTAACTTTATTTATTATTGTTATTTTCCTGTTTGACCAGAGGGAGACAGAGAGAGGGAAAGTAAGAAAGCAAGCTACCACATCTGAGATTTGAACCATGGTCGACCATGTGGGAGTCCAGCACCTTTAGCCACCATGCCACCTGCCAGCCCCACAATTTTTTCTTTTTTTTTAAATAACTTTTTGCTTTTGGGTGTGTGCGTTCACTGGAGAGAGACAGTGAAAGGGAAAGTGAAAAATGACCCCTTGGGGGGACGGCCATTCCACAATCCCTTTTCCATTCTTCCGAGATCTTGGCACACATGCACCCAGTGTGATTTTCAAGCCACTGGGTCTGAGACTCAGATTGCAGTAGGTCATACATAATCGCTATGCCATTTGCTGGCCCCAGTGTTACACAATTAAAAAAAATATTCCTGGGGCCAGCAGTTGGTGACGTGGTTAAGGGTGCTGGACTCCCACATGGCTGACTGTGGTTCAAGTCCTAGACCTGCTGCTGGTTTTCTCACTTTCCCTCTCTCTTTCTCTCTCTCATTCTATCCCTCTCTGGTCAAATTAAAATACATATGTAGCGGGGCCGGCAGGTGGCGTGCTGGTTAAGGGCAGTGGACTCCCACATGGCTGACCATGGTTCAAGTCCCAGACCTGGCAGCTTGCTGTCTCGCTTTCCTTCTATCTTCTCTCTCTCCTTTCTCTCGTCAAATTAAAAACAAATGAAAGTAAATAAATAGGGGCCAGCATATAGCATAGTGGTTGTGTTGCTGGACTCCCACATGGCCAACTGTGGTTCCAGTCCTGGACCTGGTGGCTTGAAACTCACGCTGGGCACATGCGCACACGTGCCCAAGATCCCGACAGGTGAATGGAGAAGGGGGTGTGGTGTGGTCATCCCCCTGGGAAGCGGTTTCTCACTTTCCCCTCTCACTGTGTCGCCTCCCTCTCCAGTGAGTGCACGCATCCTAAGGCTAAAACCTCTAAAAACAAATCAATAAACAAAATTAAAGAAAATAATTTCTTTCTAAAAAGAAATATTCTTGGGGGCCAGCAGGTGGCGTAGTGGTTAAGGCGCTGGACATTCCCACATGGCCAACCACAGTTTTGAGTCCCAGACCTGATGGCTGGCTTTCTCACTTTCTCTCTCTTTCTGGTCAAAATAAAATAAAATGAATAAATAAATTAAGTAATTTTTAAAAAAGAAATATTCCCAACCATATTCAGCTTATAAGCAAAGTGATGTATAGTGATTAAATGTATAAAAAAGAAAATAAGGAAAATGGACAAACCATTCTTAGCTGATAGTTTTTCTTTTAAGGTTTCTGCCATAGGGCATGTGTCCTTACTGGAGAGAGACAGGGAAAGTGAGAAGTCACCCCCAGGGATGATTGCCACATGGCAGCCCCTGCTCCTTTGTCCTGGGATATTAGTCACACACGCACAGGTGCCTGGAATGATTTTGAAGCCGCCAGGTCCAGGACTTGAACTGTGACTGGCCATGTGGGAGTCCAGCATCTTTACCACTGTGCCGCCTTGTTGACCCCAGCTGATGAGTTTTAAAAACCGTGGGCTGGGGGACCAGTAGATGGAGTATTGGTTACGTTGCTAGACTCCATATAACCAACCATGGTTGGAGTCCCAGACCTGGCGGCTTAAAACTCAGGCTGGCTGCGTGCATGTGTGTGCCCAAGATCCGGAGAGAATGAAATGGAAGGGACTGTGGTGTGGCTGTCCCCCAGCGTGATTTCTCACTTTCTGTCTGTCTGTCTCTTTCTTCAGTGAGTGCATGTACTCTCTAGCAAAAATCTCTCTTAAAAAAAAGCGGGGGCAGTGGGTGGGTCTGGCTCCCTGACCTGGTTATTGTAGTCAGATCCCACAAGGTCAACTATGTGACCTGAACCCTGGCCCCGGCCCTTGTAGCTTGAAACACATGCTGGGCGTGTATGCATGTGTGCTCAAAATCCCAAAAAGAGGCGGGGGGGAGTAGGGATTGTGGCGTGGCTATTCCCTGTGGGGGCTGTTCTCCTCTCCCCGTCTCTGTCTCTAGTGAGCACATATGCCTCTAGTAAAAACAAGACAGGAGAAATGTGGGCTGGAATGGGTCTATATAGTTCGCCGTCCCCTGCCCTGCCTCATAGGCTGTGACGGCGCACATAGTTCACACGTGAGTCCTTAGAACACGCTGACTGCCTGGTTAGTTGCTCCATGTTTGTTAGGTGTTTGCTGACCCCTGGTTACGTGCTCTTCTTTGAGTTTCTGCTGCCCGTCTTTGAACTTTTATTTTTTTTAATATATAATTATTTATTTTATTCATTCATTTATTTTGATTTGACCAGAGAGAGAGAAATATTGAGAAAGCAAGCTGCCAGGTCCAGGACTCGAACTGTGGTCAGCCATGTGGGAGTGTCCAGCACCTTAACCACCATGCCACCTGCTGGCCCCCGCTGCCCATCTTTGAGTGCTTTCCTATTTAGTGGGGTGGGCGGGGCTGCCACCCCTGCGCATCTCAGCTGCTCCCCTTACTTGAGGAAGTCCTTATGCTTTGACTTGTTTTGTGCACTGTTATGGTTGGTTCCTTTATATAAGATTTTTTTCACTTAGATACTTTCCCTTGATTCCTTTTTATAGTTTGTATTTCTCCTCTGGGACTCCCTGTCTGTATTGGGAACATACATCCTTTATACCTTGAGCATAGTTAGGGTTGCTGCTTTACAGCCTTTGCCTGGCTGGCCCTCTAGCACAGCAGTTAATCCCTGCACCTAGAAAGCCGGATCCCAGGGCCAGCAGATGGCGTGGAGATAAAGGCGACTAGACTCCTACATGGCCAGCTGCACAGTTCGAGCCCAGGCCCTGTGGCTTGAAAATCATGCCAGGTGTGTGTGCGTAGGTGCACAAAGTCCTGAGAGGAGATGGCAGAGAAGGAATTGTGGCACGGTTATACCCTTGTTGGGTGTTTTCTCACTTTCCTTCTTCTGGTCTCTGTCTCCCTCGAGAACACATGCACCCTATAGCAAAATCTAAAAAAAATAAAGCTGGATCCCACATGGCTGACCATGGTCGGAGCCCTAGCCCTGGCACCTTGAGAAACACCAGATGTTGTGCATGGGTCCCCAAATCATCCACAATGGGGAGATGTAGGAAAAAGGACGGTGTGATCACGCCTTACGGGGGCATGTGCCCTTGTGAGCGTGTACATGCTGTGGTGATAATCACAGAAAAGAAAGCCCTGCTCTCTCCTACTTGGCCCTGGAAGTCGGCATCCACTGGCTGTGTTTCCATTTGGTGTAGTTTCTTCAGTGAGTGCATGTACTCTCTAGCAAAAATCTCTCTTAAAAAAAAGCGGGGGCAGTGGGTGGGTCTGGCTCCCTGACCTGGTTATTGTAGTCAGATCCCACAAGGTCAACTATGTGACCTGAACCCTGGCCCCGGCCCTTGTAGCTTGAAACACATGCTGGGCGTGTATGCATGTGTGCTCAAAATCCCAAAAAGAGGCGGGGGGGAGTAGGGATTGTGGCGTGGCTATTCCCTGTGGGGGCTGTTC